GGACCCGGGGCGCCGCCCCCCGACGACGCCAGCTCCTCCGCCTCCAGCTCCAAGATGTGCTCGTCCGCCCGCGCCAGCTCGCGCCGCTGGATCAGGCTCAGGATCTCCAACACTGTGGGGGCACAAAGCGCAGAGGGTGTGTGTGTGGGGGGGGTCCCAGATCAGGATCCTGTGGGGGATGTGCATGGTGGGGGGCGCCTCTGGAGGGGGGTGGAAGACCAGGAGAGAAGGCTAGGGAAGAGAGAGCCAGTAAGAGAGACAGAGTGAAAAATCTAGGGCTAAGCCCGAGGCCGGTGGCTCCCGCCTGTCATCCTAGCTACCCAGGAGACTGAGATCCGAGGATCAGGGTTCAAAGCCAGCGTAAACAAGAAAGTCCATGAGACTCTGATCTCTCCAATGAACCACCAGAAAACTGGAAGTGGTGCTATGGCTCAGACAGTTAGCCTTGAGCTGAAGAGCTGAGGGACAGTGTCCAAGCCCAGAGTTCAAACCCCTCCACCAACTAATAAAAAAGAAAGAAAAATCTAGGGTTCATGACACCCAGTATGGTGGTGACCGCCTGTAATTCCAGAGCTAACCAGGAAGCAGAAGTAGGAGGATCATGAGTTCAAGGCCAGTCTCAATGAAGTCTAGGGAGACTCTGCCTCAGAAACACAAAACACAGCTTCCATGTCTCACGCTTGTCATCCTAGCTACTCTGGAGGCTGAGATCTGAGGATTGTGGTCCAAAGTCAGCAGGGGAAAGGAAAGTCTCTGAGACTCTAATCTCCAATTAACTACCAAAAAGACAGAAGTGGAGAAGTGTGGCTGATGTGCTAGAGTGCCAGCCTTGAGTGAAAAATGCTTAGGGACAGCACCCAGGTCCTGAGTTCAAGCCCCAGGACTAGCACAAAACAAACCCACACTAGACAGATAGAGAGAGATGTGAGCTACGGTCAGAGCCAGGAGGGGACAGAGCAGGGGCCAGGTGAGGAGGCAGATCTGGAGATGACTTGGGGTGCTTGGGGTGGGGATGGCTGTTGGGGAGAGCCCACACTCCAGCAGCGCCCCCCAGCTTTGCTCCAGCTAGGAGAAGCATGGGGTTGGGAGTCTGGAGTGGAAGCAGAGGGGAGGCGGGAGGGTCCCATGGCCCCGGGCGGCCCAGAGTTACCCTCCACACCTCCCCCTCTGCTTCCTCCCTGGCAGAGAAACTATTTCCTGGCCAGGGCTATTTCTGCCCATCCGTTTCCAGAAGGCGGGGGCTCCAGTCACCCCCTCCTCACCTCCCCGCCGTGCCCTCCCAATCCCCAGGGAGCTGGGGCTGAAAGAGCCAGGATGTAGAGGGCACTGGAGTGGGGGGGGGCGCACAGGGGCTGGGGAGGGCCCGGAATTCAGGTGTGGGTGTGGGAGGGGGATTCGGGGATGAGGATGCGGGTCCTGAGATGGAGTGAGATTCCAGGATAGACTAGAGGACAGGACAAGAATGGCGTTGGAAGTCAGTTGTGGTGGCTCACGCCTGTCATCCTAGCTACTCAGGAGGCTGAGATCTGAGGATCGAGGTTTGAAGCCAGCCGGAGAAGAGAAAGGCCTTGAGACTTTTTCTTTTTTTGTCAGTCATGGGGCTTGAACTCAGGACCTGGGTGCTGTCCCTGAGCTGTTCTGTTCAGGAGTTAGCGCTCTACTACTTTTTTGAGCCACGGCTCCACTTCTGATGTGTTGGGTGACTCACTGGAGATAAAGAGTCTCACAGACTTTACTGCCCCGGCTGGCTTTGAACTGCACTCCTCAGATCTTAATCCCCTGAGTAACTAGGATTAAAGATATAAGCCACTGGCACCCAGTTCCAGAGACTCTTATCTCCAACTAACCACCAAAAATCAAAAAGTAGAGCCGTGGTTTGAATAGTAGAGCATTAACTAGTTTTGAGAGGGGAAAAAAAAAGCTATGGACAGGTAGGGCGCTGGTGGCTCACGCCTCTAATCCTAGCTACTCAGGAAGCTGAGATCTGAGGATGCATCGGTTCAAAGCCAGCCTGGGCAGGTAAGTCTGTGAGACTCTTTATCTCCAGTAAACCACCAGAAAACCAGAAGTGGTGCTGTGGCTCAAGCGGTAAAACATTCGCCTTGAGCTGAAGAGCACAAGGACAATGCCCAAGCCCAGAGTTTCAGCCCCATGACTGACAAAAAAGAAAGAAAAAAGCCATGGACAGTGCCCTGGACCTGATTTCAAGCCCTGGGGCTGGCACAGAAAGGAAAAGAATGGGTTGGACGGAAACAGAGAGGACATTGAGGAGGGGACACTGGACAGACAGCAGAGAAGAAGAGGTTGAGGATGGAGGGGATGCTGTTAAAGGCTTGTGTTACTAGACAGATGTTGTACTGCTGAGCCATGCCTCCAGCCCTTTTTGCTCTAGTTATTTTTGACATTGGTCCTTCATTCCCCCCCCCCCCCAGGCAAGTATGAACCCAAGTTCCTACAACTTCTGCTTCTCATCCTAGTGGAGATGCCAGGCATGAACCACCATGGCCAGCTTCTTCTGTGGAGATGGAGACTTGGTGAACTATACTATTTGCTTAGGCTGGCCTGAAATTTCAATCTTCCAGATCTCAGCCACCGGAGTAGCTGAGGGTTTACAATTGTGATTTTTTTTTTCAATCAGTCGTGGGGCTTGAGCTCTGGGCCTGGGCTCTATCCCTCGGCTCTTCAGCTCAAGGCGAGCGCTCTACCACTTGAGCCACAGTACTACTTCTGGTTTTCGGGTGGTTTATTGGAAATAGGAGTCTCACGGACTTTCCTGCCGGGGCTGGCTTTGAACCGTGATCCTCAAATCTCAGCCTCCGGAGTAGCTAGGATGACAGGCATCTTCTTTGATTCTGATCATAGAGATGATTGTGGAGATGGTGGGGAGGATGGATTGGGGGTGCTGGAGGCTGGGGACGTGGGAGATGGATGGGACAGAGGGTGAGCTTCTTAGGGACACCTGTATGGGCTAAGAATGGAGGCAGGGAGGCCCAGGCAGGGGGAGGAGGGGAGCCACACGGCCATACCTCTACATCAGGGCTCCCCACTTACCTGACAAGGGCTCCTTCATCTTTGGGGGCTCCCGGATCTTGGGCGGGGGTTCAGGGGCGGCCTCTCCGGCGGGGACCACCCTCTCGGCCAGGGAGGCTCTCCTGGGCTTGGGCCCCCGGCCGAGGCGCAGGAAGGCCAGTCTTCGAGCAGCCTCCCCCGTGGCCTCCTCGTCGCCGTGGCCCCGGCTCCCCTGAAGCCGAGCTAGGAGGCCGAAATCTGCCGAGCTCCTTCGAATCCCCGGGGCCAGCATTCGGCCCAAGAAAGACCGGGGCTGCCCCTCCCCGGGGCTGCCGGCCCGGCGGCCGGGGGACCAGCCCAGGCGGAAGGGGGCCAGGCCCGCCAGCTTTTCCAGGGTGGCACGGCGGCGACACGATGTCCCATTGGGCAGGGGGCCCAGGTCCCCCGTCTCTCCCTCCAGCCCTGGAACCTCCTCGAAGGGGTTGCGGGAGGATCTGAGGGGCAGGGTCCCCGCCCGGGGCATCTTGGGGTCCGCCACCCCTAGACTCTTCAGGATGGGCATCTTGACGGGCGGGCACCTGGGGAGAGAGGACGGGTCAGCGCAGGTGCGGCCGGGGTGCATAGAACGTCCCTGGATCTATGAGGAGGGGGGGTATTACTGTCCTCTTCTTCAGCAGATGAGGAAACTGAGGCTCAGAGGGGCAGAGGCAAGGGCTTCAGGAGCAAAGCTGGCGCGGGTCTGATTTCAGGGCCTGGATTCACCCAACTGACCATCCATCCACGGGGCCGGCTGCAGCCTGGCCTGGCAGGGGGCGTGGCCCAGGGGCGAGGGCGTGGCCTGAAGGGGCTGGGTGTGGTCTGAGTGACAAGCATCATTTGTATATGGGGCGTGGCTTAACGGCACAGGTGTGGTGTCAGAGGCTGGGGCCGGACCCTGATTGGTCCGTGGCTTAAGGAGGTGTGGCTTTGGGGGGGCTCAAAGCTAGAGCATACCTGGCAAACACATTTAAGGCCTCAGAGTTCAAATCCCAGTCCTGGTCAAATACAAAAACACCAGGGCTAGGAAGGTGGCTCAGTGGTACAGTGCTTGCCTTGCATGCATGAGGCCCTGAGTTTGATTCCTCAGCACCCGATAAGCAGAAAAAGTTGGCTCAAGTGTGGCTCAAGTGGTAGAGCACTAGCCTTGAGCTGAAGAGCTGAGGGACAGGCCCCATGACCAACAAGAAAACAAAAACACCCTCCCTTCCCAGTTTGGATCAAGGGATTTGGAAGAGTCATGCTATATTTTTGTTTGTTTTGCCAGTCCTGGGGCTTGAACTCAGGGCCTGGGCACAGCCCCTGAGCTCCTTTTGCTCAAAGCTAGCTCTCTACCACTTGAGCCACAGTGCCACTTCCAGCTTTTTCTGTGTATATGGTACTGAGGATTTGAATCCAGAGCTTCATGCATGCTAGGCAAGCACTCTACCACTGAGCCACATTTCAATACCAAGATTCACGATCTTTTTGTTGTTGTTGTTGTTTGTCATGGGGCCTAAACTCTGGCCTGGACACTGTCCCTCAGCTCTTCAGCTCAAGGCTACCGCTCTACCACTTGAGCCACAGCACCACTTCTGGCTTTTTCTGCTTATGTGGTGCCGAGGAATCGAACTGAGGGCCTCATGCATGCAAGGCAAGTGCTCTACCACTGAGCCACCTTCCCAGCCCCAAGATTCACAATCTTAATTAGGCCTCCTACTCTATGAAGAAACCGGCTCAGGAGAAGGAAGAGCAAGGCTCTTTTCTAAGGTGGCACTCCCAGCCCAGGGTATCACCATAGGGAAACATCTGGGTGGTTCATCGGCCTCCTTCTCACCTCCTTCTCCCACCCCACCCCTGTCTAATTTGTTTCTCCTCTCCTCTCTTATTCATCCTTATCACCAATCTTTTGGGGCATGCAACGGGGCATGGTGGCACACACCTGTAATCCCAACACTAGGGAGGCTAGGGCAAGAGGATCTTGAGTTTGAAGCCCGCCTGGGCTATGTAAGGAGATGCTGTTTCAAAAAAACAAATGAAATCAGCTGGGCGCCAGTGGCTCACACCTGTCATCCTAGCTACTCAGGAGGCTGAGATCTGAGGGTCACGGTTCAAAGCCAGTCTGGGTAGGAAAGTCTGTGAGACTCTTTTTTTTTTTTTTTTTGCCAGTTGTGGGGCCTGAACTCTGGGCCTGGGCACTGTCCCTCAGCTCTTCAGCTCAAGGCTAGTGCTCTACCATTGAGCCACAGTACCACTTCCAGCTTTTTCTGCTATGTGGTGCTGAGGAATCGAACCCAGGGCCTCATGCATGCAAGGCAAGCACTCTACCACTGAGCCACCTTCCCAGCCCCTGTGAGACTCTTATCTCCAATAAAAAGCACTAGAAAACCTGAAGTGGCTCTGTGGTTCAAGTGGTAGAGCGCTCGCCTTGAGCTGAAGAGCTGAGGGACAGTGCCCAGGCCCAGAGTTCAAGCCCCACAAGTGACCAAAAACAAAAAACAAAAGAAATCATAAAAACACACATAATGCTCACATTTGTCATCTCTAGCAACTCAGGAAGCAGAGATCTAAGGATCGTGGTTTAAAGCCAGCCTGGGCAGGAAAGTCCAGGAGACTCTTATCTCCAGTTAGCCACCAGAAAACTGGAAATGGCATTGTGGCTCAAATGGATAGAGCACTAGCCTTGAGCTCAGGAACACCATCCAGGCCCTGAGTTCAAGACCCAGGATCCACAAAGAAAAAAGAAAATAACCCACAAATGATCCCAAGGGCTGGGAATGGAAGAGCGCTTGCCTAGCATGTACAAAAGCCTGGATCCCATTCCCAAACATCAAGGCTTTGCAAAGCCTTGAACCTGTCACAAGGGAGCTGGGCTTTCTGGGAATGAAGGGACCAGGAAGGTACTGAACTGAGTAGAAACAAGGCTTTTCCTATCTTTTTCTTTTTCCTGGGCATTGAACCTAGCCTCGCGCTGTGGATGCTGGGTAAGTGTTCCACCAATGGGCTACAACCTCAACTCCCATTTTAAAAGTACTTTTTCAGAGCTGTGTGGTAGCTGGTCAGCACAGATACACAGGAGGTAAAAATAGGAGGATTAAGGTTGAAGGCCATTGCAGGCAAAAGCTTGAGACCCTATCTGAACAAAATAAAAGTTAAAAGAAACCAAAACGCCCTAAGGGGTGGGGGTCAAGTGGCAGAGAAGCTGAAACAAATTCAAGATCCTGAGTTAAACCGAGCGCTGGTGGCTCATGCCTGTTATCCTAGCTACTCAGGAGGCTGAGAACTGAGGATCGCAGTTCAAAGCCAGCCCAGGGAAGGAAAGCCTGAGAGACACTTATCACCAGAAAATCAGAAGTGGCACTGTGACTCAAAGTAGTGCACTAGCCTTGAGCACTAAGGCTCTGGGACAGAGCCCAGGCCCTAAGTTTGAACCTTAAGACTGACCAAAACAAACAAAACCCCCAACTAAACCAAAACAAAATGAGCAAACAAACAAAAGCCCACAGTGAAAGACTCCAAACATTTTCAGAAAAATATAGAAAGCCAAGTGAATAACTGCTCCCGTGCCTGGAATCCTATCAGCATCTAATGCAAACCTCTATGCCATGTGCATTCTATTTCCTTTTTCTCCTTCTGAGGTTTCAGTACCATTAGAAAGCCGGGCATAGTGGTACACCACTGTAATCCCAGCACTCGAGAGGCAGAAGGAGAATCGTGAGTTTCATGTAGAACAGGGCCTGATGCTTCAGTCTCCAAGGAGACTTGCATGAGGAATGCGCGTTCTCCCCCCCCCCCCCTTCACTCGAATGCTGGTACTGGGCTTGAACACTGGGGCTTATGTAGTGTTATGCCCAGAAAAAAAATATGCCACCTCCCATGTTCCAAGCTCTCTAGAAAAACTGATGCCACACTAGTCTCTATCCTGTAAGCTGATGCCCTCTTTCTCTCGCGCGCACACCATCCACTTGGAAGATTTAGCTGTGGCCTGTGCTCCCGCTTTACGTTAATGGCTGCATAATATTCCATTTTCCCTCTCTGATGGAAATTCACAAAGTGTCCCAGGTTCACCTACGGCTATTTTTCACCAGGGTCAAGTGGAGGGGGGGACAGGACAGGACATTGGGATGTTTGTAGGTAGACAAGAAGCCTGGGAGGAGTTGGGAGCTCTCTTTCTGAGGTGAACTGTCCCTCTCCTCTCCCCGCCTTTCCACCACTATTTATTTATCAGCTTATATAAAAACAAAAAACAGGGGCTGGGAAGGTGGCTCAGTGGTAGAGCGCTAGCCTTGCATGCCTGAGGCCCTGGGTTCGATTCCTCAGCACCACATAAGCAAAAAGAAAAAAGCTGGAAGTGGCACTGTGGTAGAGCGCTAGCCTTGAGTTGAAGAGCTGAGGGACAGCGCCCAGGCCCGGAGTTCAGGCCCCATGACTGGACCCCAAAACAAAACAAAAAACAAAAACACCCTCCTTCCCCAGGTAGGATCAAGGTACCATCCTGGGGCTTGAACTCTGGGCCTGGGCGCTGTCTCTCAGCTCTTCAGCTCAAGGCGAGCACTCTACCACTTGAGCCACAGTGCCACTTCCAGTTTTCTAGTGGTTTTAATTGGAGATAAGAATCTCACAGACTTCCCTGCCTGGGCTGGCTTTGAACCGTGATCCTCAGATCTCAGCCTCCTGAGTAGCTAGGATATATGTGAGCCACTGACTAAGAGATCTCAGCTCTTGTTTCTCAATCCTCTTGTTTCCAGACATAGATCTGGGCCTCCCTCTGGCCTCCATGGTCCCCTATCACCCTGACAACCTGGGGGGGGGCCTCCACGCATGCTCACATACAAGGCACACAGGGACCTTCCTGTCCTCCATCTTCTGAATTCCTTCACCCCAAAATGTCCCCATCACTCCCCCACAAAGTCTCCACGTCCCAGCCCAGAATAACTGGCTGACATTATCTGGAGCTGATCTGACATTCTCCCACCCTGTACCCCACAAAGTACTCCCAATATCCCCCCGACACTAAGTAACCACCATTACCCAAAACTGGCCCAGGCCTCGCTCCCCTTCCTGGATCCAACACCCCCTTGGCTGTCTCCGACATCCTGGCCCCCCCCAACGCACACACCCGCGTCAGCCTCCCTCCCCATGCCCGGGCCCTGACTCACTTCCCAGGCCTCCTGAAGCCCCCAGCCCCCCAGTTCTTGCAGGATGTCTCAGCGCCCAGAGCTTCCCCCTGAAGCCCCTCCTCTTCCTCGCTGCCAGCCTCCCCCCCCCACCCCACAAGCCCCAGACCCTCCAGGGCAACCCGGCCCCTGTGTGCACAGTTCAGCACCTCCCAGACCCAGCCCTCAAGAACGCTTGGTTTGTGTTTGGTGACAGGTTGTGCATGCGGTCTCTCGATTCCCTCTGCATCCTAGGTGCTGGGATTACAGGCATGCGCTACCACGCTGGCTTGAGAACGCACTTTCCAAATTGCACATCCCTCCCAAACCCCAAACTCCAATCCATAGGTTCTTATCCCCAAAGACAAATCCTGACATGACCAAGTGCCAGCCTTGCCCTCGCCCGTCTCCAAGAACCCTGTCTTTAGGAGGAAGCAAGCACCCCATACCCACCACCACCAGGCCCCCAAGTCTCTCCACTGGGCTTCGCGCGTGTGTTGCACCGAGGGTGCTTGCTGGTGATTTCTCAAGATTCTCTCCTCCCTCTCCTCCAGCTTCCAAGGGTCCTCAAATTCTCCTGCACCCCTCTTCCCACTGCTGTCTGTGTCTGCCTCCTTGTCAGTGCCCCCTCTTTCTCCTTAGGCCTCCTGCTCCTTTTGGGTTCATGCAATAGGTTCAGGTAAGTTCAGGGCCAGGCAGCTCTTTGTGGGTGGGATTGGGGGGGGTCCCCTGCTTCCAGGCCGCTCACCTCTGTCCTCCGTGCCTGTCCCTCCGTGCCTTCTCCTGTCCCGTCCCCAGGCTGCTCCAGCCAGGACTGCTGAAGGCTTGGATCTGGGGGGGGGTGCTTGGAGGAGGGCAATTTCCTGTCAGGAAACCCCTCCCTCTCTGGGGCCAGGGGCGGGAAGGGCTCATTATCTGTCTGTCCTTTTAGGCGAGCCCATGGTTGGACTGGGCAGGACCAGGGCCACAGCCCAGTCTCCCCCCCCTCCCCCCCTCATTCCCTGAGCCCCGACCGGAACTCCCTCCACACCCTCCTGCCTACTCTTCACGCCTTCCAAGGTGACAAGTCCATCCTGGGCACCCCAGGGAGACGCCCCAGGGCTGGACCAGAGCCCAGAACTGCTCTCCAGCCTGGGCAAAGCTAAGGCTCTTGAGGGAGGATGGGGGGGTGTCTTAACTTTGCTCCTGTACCAAGCTATGGAGGACTTTAGAAAGAAATAACCATTGGCCGCAGGGGGCTGGGTTTGGGGACCCTGTGGGGGTGGCACTGGCTTTGGAATTGTAGTTCTCTGTGCCTTCTTCATTTTTTCATAAAACAGGCTGGCCTTGAAGAGTGATCGTCCTGCCTCTGCCTCCTGAGGGCTGAGCTTACAGGTGGGTGCTACTCTGCTCAGCTACCCCTGCTAAACCATCAGGAAGTTCTTTTTTGTTTGTTTGTTTGTCAGTTTGGGGGCTTAAACTCTGGGCTTGGGCGCTGCCCCTCAGCTCTTCAGCTCAAGCCAGTGCTCTATTGCTTGAGCCACAGCGCCACTTCCGGTTTTCTAGTAGTTTATTGGAGATAAGAGTCTCATGGAGTTTCCTGCCCAGGCTGGCTTTGAACCGTGATCCTCAGATCTCAGCCTCCTCAGTAGCTAGGATTACAGGTGTGAGCCACTGGCACCCCGCAACCATCAGGAAGTTCTAATCCTGCCCCTGAGAAGGGCTGGGTTTACCTGTTCTGTTCCCCAGCGCGCCCCCCCTCCCTCAGCCCTGCCCCTGTCGGCTTGATCTCTGGGACTGGGTGCTGTCCCTCAGCTCTTCAGCTCAAGGCTAGCTACAGCGCCACTTCCGGCTTTTTCTGTTTATGGGGTGCTGAGGAATCAAACCAGGGCCTCATGCAAGGCAAGCACTCTACCGCTGAGCCACCTCCCAGCCCCCACCCCTGTCTTCTTTATCTTCCTGGTCTGGAGCTCCATTACCCTCCCCCTCTGCAGCCCTTCTCCCCGCCACCCCCATTTCCCAGGAATGTGCTTAGATTTTTCTAGTGCCTTCCGTGGTCTGAAAAGATCAGATCATCTGTCTCCACCGCAGACTTAGTGCGGTTTTTGTTTATCTTAGGGCTGGGGATGGAACCCAGGGTCTTGAACTCACTAGGCCCGAGCTTCCATACTGAGCCTCATCTCTGGGTCTGGAGCACTTTGAAAACTGGACTGTGACACCTCTGGGTTCAAGTCTGCTGGGTCACACAGGAAAGGGAAGGAGCCAGCCTGGCCCCTGGGTCAGCGTCTGCAGCCAGAGCCATGCCACCGGCCATCTGTCATGGGCTATGACCATTGTGAGCAACTCCCCTTTCTTTATTTAACCAGTACTGGAACTTGCACTCAGGGTCTCTTGTTTTTGGCTAGATTTGGTAAGGCTGGTGCTCACCACTTGAAACACGCCTCCAGTCCAGCATTTTGCTAAGTTAAACCAGAGAGAATATGGCAACAGACTTTTCTGCCTGGGCTGGTTTTGAACCATGCTCTTCCTACCTCAGCTCCCCCCTCGAGTGCTCTGGCCGGCAAGTGTGAACAGCCATCTGTGGCTAATTTCATTTTGTTTTATTGAGATATTATTTACATAGCATGAAGTGCACCCTTTGAAAACCTGTGGTTCAGAGGGTTTGGGGATATTCCCAAGGATGCAGCAAGCAACACCAGAGATCGGATTCCAGAACATTTGCATTGCCCCACAAACCCCTGGCCTAGAGAAGTCAATCTTTAGCTGGGCACTAGTGGCTCACACCTGTCATCCTAGCTACTCAGAAGGCTGAGATCTGAGGATGGTGGTTCGATGCCAGTCTGGGCAGGAAAGTCTATGAGACTAGACTTTCTTAGTTCCAATGAACCACCAAAAAACCGGAAGTAGAGCTGTGGCTCAAATGGTAGAACACCAGCCTTGGGAATGAAAAAGCCAAGTGAGAGCTCCAGGCCCTTGTACTGTCACAGACAAACGAACAAACAGAAAAAGGCAAGTTTTCCCCCACGTTGTGAGTCTCCTCCTCTGTGAGCCTCAGTCTCCCTCATCTGGGAAATGGGGGTGGGGACAAGTGTTGAGAAATACAGAGCCAGGCAAGGCTTCCAATGTGTATGGAGAGGGTGTGCTGCCCCCTGGTGGCGAGATGGAGAACTGCATCTGCAGGCGCTAGGACCGGGGAGTGTTGGGGGGTGTGGGGGGGGGAGGCCTGGCTTCCATCCCACTCCCATGAGCCCCCACGAGCCCTGCAGAGCCTTTGTATCACAAAGCTACTAGATTCCCATCCTGAACTCCCTCCTCTCCTTTTCTAGCCTTCATATCCTCAGGCTTCACCCACTAAACCATCAAGAGCGGTTCTAAGCCTGCCCCTGAGAAGGGCTGGGTTTACCTATTCTGGGTGATTTGCCCTCTAGTATGTTAGTTATTATTCAAAAGCAGGAAAACAATCGGGTGCCGGTGGCTCAAGCCTGTAATCCCAGCTATGCAGGAGGCTGAGATCTGAGGATTGCATTTTGAAGCCAGCCAAGGAGAGAAAAGTCCTTGAGACTTTAATCTCCTGTTTACCACCTTCACGCTGGAAGTGGAGCTGTGGCTCAAGTGGTAGAACGCCAGCCTTGAGCAGAAAAGCTTAGGATCAGCACCCAGGCCCTCCTGAACACACATACACACACACACACACACACACACACACACACACACACACACACACGAGGAAAACATGTTAAGAACTCAAGTTAAGCTGGGCGCTGGTGGCTCATGCCTGTAATCCTAGCTACTCAGGAGGCTGACATCTAAGGATCATGGTTCAAAGCCCACCCGGGCAGGAAAGTCCAGGAGACTCTGATCTCCAATGAACCAGCAGAAAACCGGAAGTGGCGCTATGGCTCCAGTGGTAGAGCGCTCACCTTGAGCTGAAGAGCTGAGGGACAGCACTCAGGCCCAGAGTTCAAGCCCCATGATGGACAAATAACAAAAAGAACTCAAATTTGAGGATTCAAATCTCAGGCCCACTACTCAGGGTGGCAATAATGCCTGATTTCTTTTCACCGCACAGATCAAAGGCTAACCCTAGCATATAGAAACATCCATGGATGGTATGTGCCAGGGTTATGTGTGTGGATGTTGTTTATCGTGGTGGTACTGGGTTTTCAACTCAGGACTTCATGTTTGTTAAGCAAGACCCTCTACAGTTTAAGTCATTGGGCCAATCCTAGTTCATATTACTTTATAGATAGGGTCTTGCTTTTATACCCAGGCTAACCTGGACTTTGATTCTCCTATTTATGCTTCCCCTTGTTGCCAGGATGACAGACATGTACCACTACACCCAGCCATTGATGGAGAGGGAGTCTAGTGAGCTTTTAAGTCCAGGCTGGCCTCTGATCTTTGCCTCCCAAGTAGCTAGGATTACAGGCTTGAGCCCCCATACAGGCCCATAAATTTTTAACAAGTAGCTCTCTCTCTGGGGGTAGGGGTGGGAACTTGTGTGGGCAGCATTTGGCAATATGTACGATGCAAACATATCCACCTGGGATAATTTCAAGCCACCAAGGTGACATCATAGACAGTGTGTGTGTGTGTGTGCGCGCGCGTGTGTTGGTCCTGGGGCTTGAACTCAAGGCCTGGGTGCCTGAGGTTTTTTTGCTCAAGGTTGACACTATACCACTTGAGCCACAGCTCCACTTCTGGGTTTTTTTTTTGCTGGTTTATTGGAGATCAGAGTCTCACAAACTTTTCTGCCCTGTCTGGCTTCAAACTGTGCTCCTCAGGCCTCAGCCTCCTGAGTAACTGGGATAACAGGTGTGAACTACCCGCACACAGTTCTGAGAAAAAGTACAGCCGTTCACTGGGTAGATAGAGTAACCATTGGAAATCCCACCTAATAGAGAAATGAAGCAAAATAATTTGGAGACGAGCGCATATTACCTTTGTTTTTCATACAATTTACTTAATTGCATGTTTGCATAATTTAATTTTTTCTGCATAATTTAATTTTTTTAAATCATGACAACGGTTTAACAAGTAGTTCTAAAGTTCCTGGGACTGTGAGGACTGCTTCCCGGTGCACTAACTCCAATGCACTACTCTTGTCAATATGCATTTTTCAGAAAGGGGAAACTGAGGTTCAAGACAGGCTGGGTAGGTCTTTAGATTTGGGGTCTTGGAGTTCTGAGGCTGACTACACCTCACTGCAAGGGCAATTCCTCTTCCACGGTGCTGTGTGGCTTCTGTAAAGCCTTTCCCTCTCTGGTCTGATTGCCCATGCAAAGATGAGTCATGCTGTTCAGGCCAGCACCGCTTCTCAGTGGCTACTTCTGCCCTAACAGGGAAGTCAGGGCAAACAGAGGCTTAGAAATCCCAGGTGAAGCTGGGCGCTGGTGGCTCACGCCTGTCATCCTAGCTACTCAGGAGGCTGAGATCTGAGGATTGCAATTCAAAGCCAGCCCTGGCAGGAAAGTCTGTGAGACTTTTATGATCAATCAACCAGCAAAAAGCTGAAAGTGGAACTGTGGTTTAGGTGGTAGAGCACTAAGGAAAAAAAGCTGAAGGGCAGAGCCCCTGCCTTGAGTTAAAGCCCCATGATGGGGGGCTGGGAAGGTGGCTCAGTGGTAGAGCGCTTGCCTTGCATGCCTGAGGCCTTGGGTTCGATTCCTCAGCACCACATAAGCAAAAAGAAAAAATCCGGAAGTGGCGCTGTGGCTCAAGTGGTAGAGCACTAGCCTTGAGCTGAAGAGCTGAGGGACAGCGCACAGGCCCAGAGTTCAGGCCCCACGACTGGACCCCCCCCCCAAAAAAAGCCCCATAATGGAGAAAGAAAGGAAGGAAGGAAGGAAAGAAATTGCAGGCGACTTCCAGGGAGGATGTCCTAGTCACTGCGCCCCAACTTTTGGAGCCTGGAACTTTCTCCCTGTAGGAGAAGTTAGTCCTCTGCTGTGGCTGCATCCTGTACCCCATCATCCAAGTTGTTTGTTACCTTAGCGACTTGGGGGTGGGGTAAGAACAGAGGCCTGGGCCCTGAGATCCCTTTAGGGGTGAGGAGTATGGGGGTCAGGGCCCTGGGCCTGGAGCCTGCCTCTGGCGGTGGGGGCTGGGGTGTGTGTGGGGGTGATGGGGTCTCTGTCCTCATTGTCCCCAGGGGTCTCTCTTTTATTATTATTATTGTTGTTGTTGTTGTTATCGGTGTCCCTCCCTTTGTGTCTGTCCCGTCCCTGTGTGTGTGGGGGGATTCCTCCCCGCCTTTACCTCTGTCCGAGAATCTGTCTGCCCTTCTATGTCCTTCTGTCAGTTTCGTCCTTTCTGTTCTCCCGAGGTCTTTGTGTCTGTCTGTCTGTCTGTCTCTTTGTGTTTTCTGTTCCTCCTCTCTGGGTTTCTTTGTGTCTCTCTGCGTCTCTGGGTCTATCTCTCCATCTCTCCGACGTCTTTCTCCGCGTCTCTGGCGCTGGGCCTGGGCCTCTCCCCTCCCTCCCTCCCTCCCTCCCTCCCTCCTTCCTCCCCCCTCCCCCTCCCCCCCCCCCGCGGCCCTCCCCCGGCCCC